AATTTTACTCGTTTTCTTAACTTTACATAAATTATATTTCATGTACTCTTTCATATTTAGCTTCCTCCACTCAATATTATATTGCAAAATTCAATAGTTGTAGTCCATTCATGCAATGTGTAAAAACACTAAAATCCATATTTTGTGCAACTGCTGATGAGCATTTGCATAGATTACAGTTTGGGAATCTTACAGAGAGTGCTAGCACAATGCACCTGAGGTTCACATATTCATATATTTCTGTTAGGTGGACACCTGAAAGTGAACTTGTTGAGCTTCAAGATAGGGGTTTGATCATAATTAATAGATGTCACAAAACTGTCACCAACACAAAGTAACATATCGGAAACTGCTGTTCAGAAAATGACGATTTTCTACTGACAATCAGATTCAGCTCAGTGTCACAACAGCGAGGTCTAATGTATTTACTACTCACGTATCACTTCATCTTTTTGGTTTGCCTGGTCCTTCTGCATTGACTTGCATGATGCCCAAGAATCTTCTGATTAATTAAAAACACTTTCTCACTTGTGTTTTGTAACTTTTCTATTAAAAAATCAACTTGTGCTGATTTCTAATCCATTGGTCCTCCAAATGTTTATTGTGTTTCTACCAACTAGAAGGTAACTTATAAACCTTACTGGCATTGGGGATATTATATTATTAGCATGAGTATGGATAACTTATTACACATTCAAAAGTGATGGGTTCCTTTAAAATGTTGATCAGTTGTTAGATACGAAGGTCATCAGATAGTAGATAGTAGATGTGAGTGATGTAAAGTGTTTGTTTATAATATTATGTTATAGGATGTGTGAAAAAGAAAACTGCCTAATTTTCCACTATGTTGTTTAACCAGATGTTAAGAGTTTGAACTCATAATATTCATTGATTCATTAGTGACAGACACCACCAAATCAGAGTAAATATCACAAAAGCCTAATTTTACTCTAGAGTCACACCATAATTTTTTCAAGCAACACATGTTTATCTTAGGTTTACCTATCTACCTTTTATTATATACTATTTTTTTCTTTTATTTCTTAGTTACATATTAGAGAGTTTAAGTCTACCATCAGATTAGTGCAATTATGAATACAACAAATATTTATCTGGAGCTTATTTTGTATCAGGAAGTTGTAGCAGCATAGTCTGCAGGGAGCTGCACTGCTAACGCAGAGGAGACATCTCTCTGACAGTTCTAATCCACTAGCCACTCCTTGGGAGAAAGATGGGAAATCGTCTCCCTTGGTATTTGCAGCCTCCAGGTACCTGCTGGAGTCATTCATAAATTGGTTCTAAGTTTGAGTTCAAGGTATTTTTTATTACACATATTGTCAGACACTGGATGCAGAATTGTGGGCAAAGTCTGGAACAATACCTATTTTCTTAGAGTTTAAAAACTCAAAGACAAGTAGTCAAGAGGTCCTGCAATGGAATTTCAATCCATGATCTGTAGTATTAGGTTCCATATAAAAAATTTCTAATTTTAGATTGTTTTGACCTATATAAACAACAATATCATATGGCCCACCCTAAGTATGTTATTGCAGTTCAGCAGTAGAATTTTTGTCCTCCCTAAGGGAGATCCAGTTTAACTCTTACCAGTGGTCTTCATGTAGACCCACTACCCATTTGTCAGTAGAGATTTGTGCATACTATGATCTGAATAGAAAGCTTGAGTCACTTAGTGGTAAAGAGTTGTACTGCCAACCCAAAGGCACACGGTTTGAATCCACCAGAAGCTCTGTGGAAGAAAGTTGAGCAGTCTCCTGCAGTTCATTTAATTGCCTCTGAAAACCCCCTGGGAGGTCAGCTATGGATCGGTTCTGACTTGTATGTAATAACAGAATTCTGAACAGAGTCCAGTGGAGCCTACAGACTAATATGAACTTGAAAGAAAAGCTTGGATATCTACTTTTCAAAAAATGAAGACATTACAGATCACAACAACACAATCTTCAATCACTCATAGAGCGAGTAAAGGAGTATGAATGTTTTGTTCCATTGTGCGTGGAATTCCCATGAATCATGATTAGCCTGCAGATAACTAAAACAACTACACTAATGGCATATTCTGAGATTGATAAATGAAGGCCCTCTTAGTTAAAAGACATTTCTCTGAAAAATTTCCCGTAGTGGCTGGAACTGAAACATGAAGAGAAAGTGGGAGTTTTCTCATCAAGTATGAGAGAAAGAGGGGAAAGGAGAGAGAGAGAGAGAGAAAAAAAAAAATATGATCCCTCAATAGGGGGAAAGAGTGTGAGCAAAAGCTGTAAGTTAGAGGATCCATAATACTTTGGAGGAACTTAAAGAAGCTAGGACTAGAACATGGTACGAGCCTGGGCTAAACGGGCTAGGCATGTCAGGAGCAATTACTTAGATATGTCTAAAGTAAATGTTTAGATTTGTGTTTTAAGACCAATGGAATGTCATTAAAGAATTTCAAGTTGAAAAACGAGAAGCTTGCTACAAATACAGAATGGGGAACAAATGTGAAGGAGCCAAAGAGATGAGGGGGAACAGCAGCTCAGGTGATACCTTTGACTAGAGAAACAGAAGTGGACCTGGAGAGAAGTAAGCAGACAGAGGATTTCAGGAAAAACCACCCTTTTTATTTTAAAGAAAGTTTTCTAGTTCTTTATTTTTTTATTTCTTTTAAAATATTCTACATTCATAATATACACATGTGACAGAGTCACATGCGGTAATTTGGCTGCTTCAAGATGTTGAAGTAGCACCTTAGTTTTCTCATTATTCCCATGCTCCCTACCTCGTCCTACCCAGTGCTCTGTTCATGCTTCAGCTGCATGAGCTGCTGGAGTGTCCCATCCGTTCACATAACTGTCTCCTCCACTACAATGTGGATTCAGTAAGAGGCAACACTGTGTCTTATTTACATTTAGTTCCTGGAGCTAGCACAATACCTGATCGATTACCTATAAATGATATATTTTACATATTATATGCATATTATATTATAAAATATGTGTTATCATATTATACCATATATCGCCTCATGATATATGATATATATATCTCGCCTCATAATATATCATATATAGGAGTTCTAGTGGCCTAGTGGTAAGGAGTTAGTTAGGATTAGGCATTACCAACCTACAGTTGGAATCAACCAGTTGATCCATGAAAGAAAGATGAACCATCTTCTCCTGTGTACGGGTCAGTTCTGTCTTG